ACTAAAAAAGCTATAACTAATACCAGAATGGAGATTAGCTAACAGTAATTATCTTTATAAGGTTCATCACAATTGTCTTGTACTCAGGTCCTCTAGAAAAGTATATTATTTCACTCCACTTAATAAATTTCTTTATTGTAGTGTACTTTAACACTACAGGTGGGGGCCATAAAAACAGTGGAAACTTCAACAAAAATAAGGACAACATAGCATTAAATAGAATGCATACATGGTACTTAACTACAATAGAAACCAGTTTTCAGAATCTCACACCAGTATTTAACACCAGTTGGAAATACACTCTTCAGGCAACTCGAATTTTCCCTACTGCATGACTACAGATGACTGTGATCGTATCCTAACTAATCACTTTGAAATACAAATAAATTTTAAGGAGCAAGTAAACTTACAGGTATAGAATTTTCAAATGTCATCTTACTCTGTGTGTGTGTGTGTGTGTGCAGGTGCACATGCATGGTAGTCATGTGCATGTGTATATTAATTTATGCAACACTCAGACCTACAATATACATAAAGTGTTTGATTAAATGTAAAAATAAAGGGATGAATTTCTTATTCCACAATTTAAAAAATAGGTGAGATTTTCACAAAAACAATTTAAAAAATTTTCAACTATCTTAGGGAAATACCAAGGATAATTGCCAAAGCACAATAACTCTAAATTGTTTGAGAGGACTTGTTAAAATGTCAGGTATTCCACATCACTGTTGAGATAAAATTTAATTGTTAGCAAAATACCATTTGATTTATTTCATGGAAGTAAATAAATATTCTGTGATACTCATTTGATAAAAAGATTAAAGTATGTCACAGCATGAAAGTAGATTATGACATAAGATTTTAAGTTCTAATATTCAAAATCATAAGAATACAAAGACCATGGAATAAAATTAGCCCGAATATTTAAGATGGCCGTAGATTGATGTTAACTTTTTAAAAAATTCTGTACTAAAAATGAAAGGCATAACTTAATTTGAAATGATTAGACTTTACGTTTTCCTCTTTTGGTACATATATATGATCTTTTTTAAGAACAAGATAATCCTACTGGTAGAGGCAGTTGCAAGAAAAAGCTTCTCTTAGTTTTTTTCTTTTTATTAAAATGTTATCTCTCAAGACTTAGAATCTGAGTTCTGTACTCAAAACTTCAACTCCCAAATGTTTCCTTCCCAAATATCAGAGGGAAACCATCCCTACTTGATGCCTATGGGGACCTCAGAAATCAAGAGACACCTATAACTGAGCTCATTAGGGAAGCTTTAAGTACAGAGAACCCAAGGCTCTCTCAGAACAGGTAGGTGTTCATTCTGATTCCCACAAAACTGCCAGTGAGGAAAGGAGTCTGCAGTTACTTTCAGAATGGAGATTAGCTAACAGTAATTATCTTTATAAGGTTCATCACAATTGTCTTTTACTCAGGTCCTCTAGAAAAGTATATTATTTCACTCTGACAACAGCCAGAGAGATGGATTTGGGGTTCTAGTAAGAGCAGACAGACTCTGAAAAATCATGCAGCTGTTATTTCTTGGGAAACTGAGTTATTTTGGCCTATGAATTGAATTGAATTAATTGGCCTTTTTACTGTAGCTTTCCATGAGGCTACACTTGGACATGGGGTTCTCTGCTTAGTCCATCAGAGGAAGGTTAATGAAGGAAAGACTGGGAGTGCAAGTGATATTTGAGCAATGTTTCATGCTTCTCAAAGACATCTTAAATTTAGCATACCTATATTACCTTACATTTACAAAGCCCAAGGAGCACATTTATTCTAAGGGTAAATGTAAAAATGAAAATCTTTGCAGTTGACCTGGGTTTAAATTCCAGCTCTTAGATGCTTAGTAAAATTGCTTTGGGGAACATAAATGAATCTTTGGTGTGGTGTTTTTATCTGTGTTATCAGTATGTTTATATTCAACACTCCCTTAAGAATTAAGTAGGATATTGCCTGTAATGTAAATAACATAGTATTTATCTTATAGATGTTTGATTCATGTTATTTATTTCACTTTTGTAAAGAGATGAATAGAACTTTAGCCAAAATCTAGAACTGAGAATTTAGCCAGAAGACATTGTAAGCTGCTTTTTTTCCTCCCCCCAAATAGATGTTTCTTTCCCTCTATTCCCTTTTGTTCATCCTATAGTCAGATGGGTACACAATTCTGTCATAATTCAATTTTGTTACAGACTGGTCCTTGGACATATATACTAAAGGCTTATATACATCTGGAAACTGTTAATGTACCAGCATGTGTGTGGATAGTGTACACTCTAAATCTTTAGTGATTCCCTGGTTTTATTCAGGTTATATCGAAACTGTTTTCTGGAAAATTAACATTTTTCACTTTTTTCTTTTTATTCATTCATTGGAACAAAAAACACATGAAAATGTAGATCCTCAGCCAAGTAAGAATTTGCAATAAAACAAAAAAGGAAGATATGCAGAAACATAAAATACAGTATGACAAAAGACAGAAGACAGGTGAGTGCACTTATCATAAGGATGCTAAGAAGGGTTATCAGCGAGAGTTCCAAGCAGCTAGATATATCAATTTAGAGGCACTGGTATGTGAGTGGAGACTTCAATTATAACTAACTGAGAGCTTTTGCTTGGGGGAGTATAAAAGAACTGCGTTGTAGGCCAGAAACACAAGGTTAAGAGGACTCACAAGAGACAAAACAGGGATCAAAACAAACAGATTTACTGAAATACACTGCTGAGGGAGCAGCGGGTGAGACAGGAGAGTCTGCTGCCATGTGCGGGTCAGTTCCCTGGCTGGGCTTGAACTCAAGCTGTAGAGGTGACCATGCTGAGACTTAAGCCACAGGACACCAGGGAGGTCCTTTCACTGAGGGTTTTTATATGTGAAGAAGTACCATGAAGAGCAAAGACAAAGGGGCAACACCTTTGTGAATTAAGTGGATGACCAGTTCTCTCTATAAAGATTTGGGAAAGGGATTGCAAGAGTTTAGAAAAAATTCCTAATATTTAATACAACATAGAAGGTGACATATACTTTGTAATTCCATGATTTATATTTTTCTTGATGAATGCAACTATAACTCTGGATTATTTATTTACTTGCCTTCAACTATACAAATAACTCATGAATATGTAGATCACACTGGCACTGTTAAAAGAAGTCAAACCATAGTGATACAGCTAAATTACCCTTTCTTTATACTCCCTTACATATAATCCCATATCTTTGACCTCTCTTCAACTGTGATCTCTGCATCTTCTTAGGATATTTTCTGTGTGGAGAAAATTCTCAGTACAAATGTATGTAGCTCTCTATAGGTTTCTACCATCTCTCTATATCCACACTATACATATGTATGCACATATATTTGCATGTGTGTGGTTCAATGTTAAAGGAAAACTCAAATTTTCTTCATTTTTTATTTAGGTGTTTTCTATCTTAGTTTATAGAAATGCCCTTTATTTATTCTGAGTGCTTCTGAACACTCCATAATATAAATGTCATAGATTTTTTAAAATTTAATATCACCTTGTTGATGAGCATGAGCATGAGAGCAAATTAAATTCTCTAAATTTTATACTATTACAGAGTTTGGTAATGAGAATCAGATATATTTTTTCATGTGTATATGTGGACATTTTTTTCCCTGGGATGAGAAACAGATTCCTCTACCAAAACTTTTACTTTTAATGATGATGGTTATTATAAACTTTTTCTTTAAATGTAGAGTCAATTTTTCCCTAAGAAAATCAACTAAGTATCACCCATTAGCACAAACTACACTAACATTTGTTATCTTAATATTCAGTTGTTTTAAAATAAACTGCATGAATTATATTACATTCATTTAAATATTTAATAGCAGCAAATTGCAATATAAAGTGGGGGTAGAGATCAGCAAATGCAAAAGAAATGTTAGAAAGGAAATCTTGGAGGTAATAGATTTTCTTGAGCAGGAACCACTCAAAAAGTCATAACTAAAAATATGTAAGAAAGTGAAATTTAATGCCAACTTATTGAATTACATTTCTTCAATTTTGGCCTATTAAGATTTTGAAGTATACATAAATCCTGGAATCAGTTGAAAGTGATGAGCAAGACAGAAAATTGTTTATTCTTGACACATTGTCCCTGGACACACGTACGATTGACTTGAAATGAGTCCCAAGTTAATATGAATGGACCTCTTCTGGACAGTCCACAATTGACATGACCTACTGAATTTTGGTATTTTATCTCCAATATAGCTTGGCATGTCCCCAAAATATTATAACTAAAAATCTTAATATATATTTAAGATATATTTTTTATTCAAAACCATCAATTATCTTATCTGTTTCATTCTAATCTGTGTACAATTGTATATTTATCACTAAATCACCAAATCAAAGGCTAAATAACTCAACTTTTAATTAGTATCTCTTTCTTGTCAATAAGAGATTTTGGATTTTTATACATGTTTTAAAAACTTTTTATTTACTTATGCATACAGAACTGGGGTGCAGGCCAGAGGTGCAGGGGCAGTGAGAGGATTCACCAGAGATAGAGTGGAGAACAGAACAGATAGATTGATCAAGTATACTGCTCAGGGAGCAGCAGGAAAGACAAGAGAGGTCTGCCTCTCTTGTGGATCCATGTGGATCACCACCAGTGCTGGGGATAGAACTCACACTAAAATGGCTGCAGCTCACTTGCAGTGCTGCTCTGTAACATGTTTCACCATAAGGGAGGGCCCTAGGATTTTCATAATTTTAACTCAATTTTTGATACATAAGTATCTCTCCTCTTTTGGCACCTATTTATCAGTCAAATTGCAAATTACATCTAAAATAATATCTGATAATCAGATGGTAAAATAATTTATCTCTAAATATTTGCCAGCATTGTACTTACAGCCTGAAATTCTATATTTTGGCTTAGCTCATCAGAGAATACAAAGTTTAATATTATTTCTTTGCCTTAGAGGAATATCCGAGAAAGCTAAAATAATTGGCACTTATGTCAGCACACAATAAGACTGATATTCATCCATCAACCTTCATTCTCATTGGCATTCCTGGGTTGGAGGCAGCACACATCTGGATCTCCATACCCTTTTGTGTGGTTTACCTTTTGGCCCTTCTGGGAAATTGTTCTCTTCTCTTCATCATCAAAACAGACACCAGCCTCCATGAGCCAATGTACCTTTTCCTCTGTATGCTGGCTGTGGCTGATCTCATTGTGTGTACGACAGCTGTGCCCAAACTTCTCAGCCTCTTTTGGTTCCATGATGGAGAGATTCGCCTTGAAGCTTGTCTAACTCAAGTATTCCTGATTCACTCTTGTTCCACAATGGAATCTGGCTTCTTCTTGGCCATGGCCTTTGATCGTTATGTAGCCATTTGCAATCCATTAAGACACTCATCTATTCTGACTAACTCTGTAATTAAGGGGATGGGTCTAGCTATTGTAATCCGGGGCACAGTCCTCCTCAGTCCTCACCCTTTTATGCTACGTTGGCTTCCATACTGCAGGACCAATATCATTTCCCACACCTACTGTGAGTTCATGGCCCTCATCAAGATTGCCTGTGCTGAGACCAAAATCCGTAAGGCCTACAGCCTCATTGTTGCCTTCCTTACAGGAGGAGTCGATTTCATATTGATCATTTGTTCTTACATCTTCATACTCCACACTGTCTTCCAACTGCCATCCAAGGATGCCAGACTCAAGACCTTGGGCACCTGTGGCTCTCATGTCGGTGTAATCTTAGTGTCCTATACACCAGCCTTCTTTTCTTTTCTTACCCACAGGTTTGGGCAGCATGTGGCTCCTCATGTCCACATATTTGTGGCCAACATTTATCTTCTGGTCCCACCCATGGTGAACCCTATTATCTATGGGGTAAGAACCAAAAAGATACGGGAGAGGTTCCTTAAATTTTTCGGGTTTTCAAAGATTCTAAACTAAGTGGTTTTTGTTGGTGAGTAATATATGAGTAAGTGTTATATTATCTAGCTTACACACTGTGTTTTTCCACCAAGAATATATTTTAATTGCTCAAAGGTTAAGATTTTTCTACAAGAAGCAACTCCAAAAGTATTTGCTGTTGTGTAATAATTAGTATATAGAGGTAAATAGATTATCAGGTATGACTTTATTAAATTTTAAAATATCATTGACTACTGGAAATATTTTATTCAAATGCTTTACCCTTCAGGGTGAGAGTGTGAATAGATTCCACATTTATTAAGCATTTTCTAAATTCAAAATTATTCACTGTGTACTTCATATACATAATCACTTAACAATAATTTGAGTTAGTTATTACAAATACCCATATACCATACCAAATAGCTCAACAAGTTTATATTCCAATGGTCAGTGAGTAGAATTTAAATTGTTCAGCATTTGTTCCAATTGTTTAGCTTGGAACCAATTCCAAATATATAATTTTCTATACTTTCACAGTGATTCAATGTACAGCCAACTCACTAAATGGGAATCACAGGAACACAGTTCTAACAGCTTAAGTCGCAAAAGTATTGCTGTTGCTCTTTCCATTTTTCATAATCAGCCTGAGTTTACATCTACTTAGCCAGAGAACTCAAAGAATTCACTAGGGATAAAAGGGTATGGTTGTAGTAAGTCTCAGAGTTTCAAACAACAAATATATTGTGGTGTTTTCCACATATTTTCTGAAAATATTAAGATTTTTGTTAAATTTTAATTTTAAAAATATGTTTAACGTATGAAAAGAGAGTTGTCTGCAAGATATAAAGACACCTGTCACCAGAACCAAATATGATGATACCCTGATCGAAATATCTAGCCTCCCAGATTCAAAGATATTATTTCAGTTGCTTAAGCACCTCCCGCTTTGGATTAAAAAGTTGTGACAGATAGGAGTCCAAAGTATCATCTTTCTTAGTGATGAAGAATATTTAGGAGAACCTAGTTTGGTTGGAGAGTCAGTAAATGCTCAAATTAAATCCCATAGCCAGGCCTATATTTCTAATCAGAACAAGAAGACTAACCACATGGAGGAACATCAATGCATACATAAGTCTTTAGCAAATCTCACAAAGAAGTTGTGTGTGTATGTGCATAGGGTAAAATTAAATTTAACCAGTTTATGTTTAGCAATTTAAAACCTACAGTTTCTCTCCTGTACATAGTGAATAAGGTATGGAATCAAGTGTAGGGTGGAAACATTTAGCTCCACTAGTTTGATAAAGTTGATACAGAGACATAAGTATTACTTTTCAGAATAATTTTATTTAACACTCATATAGCATTTATATAATGGAATACTACTCATTGATCAAAAAAAGACAAACTCATGTCATTTGGGTAACATGGATGGAACTGGAAGGGTTGCACTAAGCAAAATAAGTCAACAGGAAAAAGATGGTTTCAATTATATGAGGAATATAGAAAAACCAATGTGTTAAACAAAGACAAACCTTGAAAGCTGACCAGAGATACTATGAATACATAAGGGGTATGGTAGGAGCTAGGGAGGTATGAAAACAGTGGGGAAAAACACAAGAGAATATAGAATATGAGTGTTTTGGTGGTAGAAAAACAACAGTGACCACACCTGAGGAGAAAAATCATATATTGTGCAACACTTAAAATAAATATACAAATAAAATCTCATAAAAACTGGATTAGACTTGTTACTTTAATATCCTCAATTTATAATTATGAAAATTGGGAATAAGTATATTAGTTAATATCCTCATAGCCAAGAATATGATTAAAAGGAAAGCCAAGGGGCCCTCCCCAGTGGTGCAGCGGATTAAAGCACAGCGCTAAGAAGCTAAAAGCCACTTCAACATGAGTTCAATTCCTGACTGCCCTGCAGGTGACCCAGATGGGGTGGCAGACCTCTCCTGACCCACCCACTGCTCCCCTCAAGTAGTGTATTTCATTGATCTGCTTGTTCTGCTCCCTACTCTGTCTCTGGTGAGTCCTCTCATCACCCCTGTACCTCTGTCCTGTACCCCCATTTCTGTATGAATAAATAAATAAAATCTTAAAAAAAAATAAAGCCAAGATTTGATCCTGGGGTGCCTGTCACTAGGTTTATATTCTTACTGATTTTACTATGTTATTTTACATAGTGCTATGCTGTGACAAATTGACAAGTGTTGTGACAAAAGTAGAAAACCAATTATTATTATAGAATTAGAGTCAGAAGACTGTTCCAGAAGATAGGAAATCAGAAACAGCAGGTACATATTTAAACAAAGTTCTCTGTGGGTTAAATCAAAGCAGTGTGTGTGTGTGTGTGTGTGTGTGTATGTTGGAGTAAATGTATACAGTTTTGACTTAGCCAAGACTCCATTAGAACTTCTATCTCCTTTTTTAAAGATTATTCAACATTCATATTAAATAACCAACCTTTAAGTTTCATAAAGATGATTCTAAGGTCTAGAAAACATGAAGTCTCTTTGACCTACAGATTAAAGAGAAGTCTCTTTATATTACAGCTGTTTATTTAAACAGCCAGCTCAGATTGGCTCTAAAACTTTTAAATTCTAAGCTTTCATGGTTTATTCCATAAATAAAATATAATCTGTGCTTCCTTAATCACTCTGGATATTTATGGCTAGTGGTCCACAGTTCATGCTTAGAAATATATAACTATAGGAAGCTGTGAAGAGATATATAGGTGTCCTTGCAATCAGAGGATATAATATGATTTCAATTTCTACCAGGACCTGTAATTTCTATTGGATATAAGAAGTGAGAACGAGTGTCACGGGAAATACAAAAACTCATCGTTTCATTTCATTTCATTAAATCAGGGAGTTGAAACCCAAAAGCAATAAAAAATAAGGAAAGATAGGCAAGGTCAAGGACACAATATTATGTTGACCAGGATTGATGTTAGAAGCCATAAAATTCAGTAAAAATAATTTATCACAATTTGAAACAAATTCTTCACAATTGAATATTGATCTACTGGCTAGGAGTTATATGTATATGAAAAAAAAGGGGCCAGATCACATCTACTTAGATTTATCTCCCTAAATCTCAACCTAGTACTCATGAAAGGTTTAATGACTGGGGCCTGACAAGACTTCTTCTTGAAATAATCAGTCCTGATAGAGGGATATGGAAGTGAATATGGATAGGAAGAACACTTTTCTCGGCTACTCTCTTGTTAAAGAATAAAGCCTTCAGTCACTGGACAAAGCACACAAAATGATCCATTACTATTGAGGGAAAAGAACAGAAACAAACTATATAACCTTAGGTTTAGTAGGGTTACTTAAATCTCCTGTGGTGCCAGGGGCAGGGCAGACACACTGAGAAAACTTTGCTTCAATACTCAGGAAAACATAAAATAAGAAAAAAAATTTATTTATTCATACAGAACTGGGGTACAAGCCAGAGTTGCAGGGGTGGTGAGAGGCTTCACCAGAGACAAAATGGGGAGCAGAACAGGCAGATCAACAAAGTACACTGTTGAGGGGAGTAGTGGGCGGGTCAGGAGATGTCTGCTGGGCCATGAGGGTCACCTCTGGGTCTGGAATCAAGCTCGCAATGAAGCAGCTGTGGCTTACTTGCAGTGCTGTGTCCTAACCTGTGTACTACCAGGGAGGGCCCAGAATAAGAATAAGAAAATTTACTTGAAACATCTAAGGCACAATAATATTATCTACTTAAATTTATTGATAAGTTTATAGGGTTTCATTAGAAAATTTCATGTTAATTGCACATATTGAACAAACTTAAAACTTAATCATAATATTAGACATCAATAAAAAGAAGTTAAAGTATAAGTAATAATCACATTTGAGATTAATTTTGAATGACAAATGGTTGATGTAGTAAAACAGAGAGAACTAAAAGACAGGAAAACAATGAAAAGTGTTAGTAATCTGTTCAAATGATTTTTGTTAGAATATTTATACATCTGTAGTAAAGAAATGCTCTGATTTCAGAATTCTTGTTTTTTTTTTTTTAACACAAAATTATATTGTTTCTCCTGGGCTAATGAGAGGAGTTCTATCAATCAACTTAATCAAGGCTCATAGAGTAGTTAACAAATCTTACTTTTTCCTGCCTTTGTTTTCTTAGAGGTCATGATGTTGTATTATTGACTCAAAAAATGTTAGAAACTAGAATCCTCAGAGACCTTGGGTCATTTACAAAACTGGCTCCTAGGGATTTCTGTTGAAAACTCCCAGCAAAGAGAAGTACCCTCATAAGGACTAATGACACTGAGATAGAACAAAGCAAGGTCCTGCTGATGCTTAGGTTGGTGAGTCTGCCCTGTCTCCAGGCTCCCAGTGTGTCCTTACTGCATGGTGATGGGCGAGGGAAAGGAGAAGATACAGAGTGTATACAGGGCAAAGAAGACTAATGATGAAGCTTAAGGGCAGAATAGACTCTCCTCCCTTAGTAGGGACCATATAATCCTAGTGAAATCATTGAGATTTTAGTCTGAGTCCATCCTGTGTACATTTTAGAAAAATTATCTACATGATGGTTAAAAAATGGTGGATATGTTTGTAACATGGTTCAGTGTTTAAAATAATTATCTATCCTAAAATTAAGGGCTTATTTACACTCATTTTAAGAGTGAAGAAACTGAGGTTGAGAAGTTAAAGCTCTTGTGCAAAGCATCACAGCTAAATAGTAATATTCATTAATTTTTCCTTTATCTCTAGAATGAATAATCATGAAATTAAGCTTCAACAATAATAATCTGACTACAAATTCATGTTCTTAAACACCAGAAAACATGATACAGAAATCAGCCCAAGTCATGGTGATGATTTGAACACTCCCAGTTATGATGAAGGCAATAAACTCATTTAAATTATATTTTTAGAAATAGACTCAGTGGTGTTTTATTAATAGGTGGAAATCAAAGGATGATGCTTGTATCTGAATTATGCAAATCACTAAATAGCAATGACATTACTGAGACAGAAACAAAATAAGGTTAC